GAATACGAACCAATGAAAATTAGTTAATCAAAAAAGAAAGAATAGATGGATGGATGGATGGACGGATAGATGGACGGATGGAAGGATGGACGCATGGATGGATGGACGGAAGGAAGGATGGACGCATGGATGGATGGACGGAAGGAAGAATGGATGGTTGGATAGGTCTGCTTGATGGGATAAATCTTTAGAACTTTTTTCACTAACTTACACTATCACTACATCTAATGTTCTATGCAAACAACGTTCATATCACAGGTTAATTTGTAGGGAGGGAGGAAACCGGGTAAAACCCTCGTAGCATCAAACAAACTTAGTTCATATATGGTATCCGCAGGGCTCGAACGAGTGACCCAAATGTAGCAACTTACGCCACCCATGCTACCCATGGATGGATGGATGGGACTGATGTAATGCATGGATAAATACCTTTCTTCTAAGTAATACAGCAGTACCCTGCGGGACATCTAAAACCAGCTCCTTCGTATCAAGAGACGGCGAGGAACCTACTGGTCTGGCGTGTACCTTACCACACTCATATCCATCAGCACTATTAGTAAAGTAACAACAATAAGCAATGTGTACCTTCACACAATAGAGAGGTTTTCGTATGACTGTGAGAAGCTCGGTACCTCATGTGTGCCTTGTCCATACCCTGATGTTTTCTAGAACTCTGATTGGATGATTCTTTTTTTGCGCAATTTGATTGGCCTGTCATACTTATACAGTGCCGTACCTTGCATGCGTGACCGTGTCCGCGCGCCGTGTTTTGGTCATTTGATTGGATGGAGAGTAAATTCTCACGCAATGTGATTGGTCTAGCGTATGCCTTGTGTCACGACTGCGTTCGTCACTAGCTTTTCACAGTCATATAAATACCATGCTCTAAATTTAAAACATTTGTTTTCATATGTGACGGGTTGATTAGATGGACATGTTAAAGCCCATCTCAAGGTTTCTATTACATTTCGGTTCTCAAATAGTCCTCAATACCTTCAAGCCTACAACTATACCTCTTACTATGAATTCCCTCCTATCTTCAACCCTAGATTCAAGAAGTGCTAATCATTTATCCGGAAAAACCGGAAATTCTGGTTCGAAAACAAATGTTGTGTCCTTCTGATCGGAAAGTTCCGTAAAACTTGGGCTTCCGATTGAGGTAATCTCTTTTTCCCGCTCTTTTCGGAGCTTCCGGTAGACAAGTATACCATTTTTCGGAAGTCAAAATTTCCCGCTTTTTTCGGTGCTTCCGGTAGACGCGTGTACCATTTATAGGAAGTCAAAGGCTCCCGCTCTTTTCTTAATATTAGCAAACGAATTCCCAACCAGATGGTTTGATTTAAATGGAAAGCGCCCAAGGGAAGGGCTAATAGGTATATAATGTTTACCTTGTGAACGTGTGAGTAAAGACAATGTAGATAGGATTGTAGTAATAAAGCCTTTCTCCTGATCCCAATATGTTCATGAAGTATCGACCATACGAGCTGCCATCCATCACACCCAAGGCTAGCTCGGGTGGTAGCGTTGGCTCGTCCCAAGAATATGGAACTATGGAAAAATACCAATACAGATAAAATGATCTTATGTAAATATAAAATTCATTCATGCAACTTCATGTAAGTTCTGTGTAAGACATGCACCGAAGACTCGCGCACAGATAATAGTCCCCTTCACAGTTCCCTGTGCCATCTTAAAAGGTAGCCATGCCTTTGCATCGAAGCGAGACGAACGGTGAGCTTGCAATGATAGAGACCTTTTTTTAAAYACCTTGGACAATTATTCACATGTCTCTATCATTACAAGCTCACCGTTCGTCTCGCTTCAATGCAAAGGCACGGCTACCTTTCAAGATAACACAGGGAAGTGTAAAAGGGACTATTACATACCCGACTGTTTGGGCTGTAGTATCGTTCGTAAGCGATCCTCTGTTCCAGCTTGAAAGAATTTGACAGGAACCTGAAAGGTAGAAAGTCATTATTAGTTGATATAAACTTACAAAGACTGGAGAATCTGGAGAAGGGATTTGTAAGGGAGAGAACACAACATCAAACAAGCTCAGCTCAAATGAAGTGTTTGCAGGAATCAAATAAGCGAACCATCCCAATTATTTCGATTAATTGGTGTACTTGGAATTTTTGAATGATAGTATTAAAGACAACTATTTTGTTTGGACTTGTCTCTAGCATCAGGGTTACCTTACCCTCGTTTACATGTGGTTAAAGAGAGGATTTTGCATGAATGGCGGTACAAGGCAATGCAGATATCATAGTTACACTCTTTTGAATTCGAATACTTCTTTCAAGTCGAGGCATTTGGGTCAATACAATAAAATGTATAGAAACTGACCCAAATTGTTTGAATCGGCAATCGACCTCTTTACTTTTGGTGTAATGTCTTTTTTCCATTTCAGACCACGTGCCATTCTCTTGAGAATAGGATTCTTTGTTTGAAGAATATCGTGCGCAACCGTTAAACAAAGAAATAATACTCGAGGGAATGACACGTGTTTTGAAATGGAAAACAAATTACGCCCAAGGCAAAGGTTCCATAATTCCCTTGCAGCACGTCGGAATGCAGCTCAATTTGGAGGACATAACAATAGGTTTCCAATTCTCAGGGCATTGAAATTCTTTTGTTTTGTCCTCCAAGTTTGAGCTGCTTTGACGTCACATCGAGGGGGCTATTGAGTGTAACACTGATATTTGCTATTGACGGTAGCGGACTGTTCATCGTAACAAGGCAATCAAACGAATTCTCTTCATGGTCATGGTACTTCAAGGTCGTGTTTTTATTAATTGTTTTTGTTAGTCTTTGATTTCGTATGCATTCTGTTCACAGTTATTTTACCTCTGACATGTTATCGATCCTATAAGGAGGTGGAAGTTGAGAAGCATCGGTGAACACTACGTGGAATGTCGCACCTCGTAACATGATCTCGACTCTCACGAACAGGGAACATCCATTGATACTTCTGCAATTTGACAAAAGAAATACTGTAGACTGCGCAATCATTACGCTAGTCATTTAGTCAAGGCCCCTCAAGATAAGAGTACAATAGACCTCTACCTTTGGCGTGCTGTTTTTTCATTTTAAGACCAGGTGTTATTCCCTAGAGTATCATTTCTTTGTTTAACGAATGCGCATGAAAAGACATATGGATATACATACAACTCAAACAAAAATCTTATTTTCAAGAGAATGACACGTGGTCTGAAATGGGGAAAACATTACGCCCAAGATAGAGGTCTATAGGCTCTTTGCAAGGCATCAAAATCACGTGACTATTACTGACTGACAAAACTTTATTCAAATTCGTGTCTAGTCTTGTCATCCACAACTACTTAACAAAGAAATGATACTCTAGAGAATGACACATGAAGGGCCATTCCATTAGATAATGCAGGAAATTATGTTGCACGATATTTTTTTGTAACAAACCCTGCACACATTTGTTGTCGTGATTCCTCGATATTTCCTATCTAAAAGGAGAAGTAGTGCGATACCTTTTTTTGAGGGGTGAAGAGGGAAATTAGGCACCCCCCCCGTCGATTATCTAATAATCTATTGAAATAAAAGGTTTATTTGTTCATGTATACCTCATGTTGATGTGAAATGAGTCGTCTCTATCAATTCTAAATCCACCAGACCACTGACAGTGAGACACGTCATTTAACCTGTAAATAAGTAAAAACGGTTCAGACATAACATGTTTCTACCCGTCCATATCCTAACAGTAAGTAAGTTTCATTTGGCAACTTGCACGCCAACGTACATTAACGGTAGCCCAAATAAATATATGTTATTTACAGTCCTATAGTCGGTCCGGATAGGGAAAAACTGTGCCCGAGGTCTTGAATATACGGACCGAGGCTGTTAGGCCGACTTAACTCATTTATCTTTTTCCCGTATTTTTTAACTTGTCGTTTAGCGGCAAAGGATACCGGACCGCGCGCGCGGGCAGATGCTGACAAAATACCGCCCGCTTAAACAGCCAATCAGAACGCACAATTTTTTTTGGATACCGGACCGGAAAAAAAAAATGAATTCAAAATATGCCAACGACTGTTTGAATTCTGAGACATTATAGATGCATTTTCCAGCTTAAAGGCAAAGCAGCGGTAACTATCCAATGACAAGCTCATTCTTACTCCACCCCCCCCCCCTTACATTATAAGGTCCCAAGAGCTTTCTTTATAATGAAGTCACTGTGAAACTGAAGTGTTGCAAAGGGCTGCAAAAATTGGCCAGCAAAAAAATAAAAACATGCTGTATTGCAATAAGAATAGAAAACCCTGTAAATATTGAGTAACTATTATCATGCGCTGATTAGAAATGTTTTATTTTATTTTATTTTTTTCATTCGGTGGCCTGGAAATTCATAATTTCAAGTGGAAAAGCGACACCTCAGTTTTGCAAATGTTCTTCATTCTGATTGGCTAATTATTTTCTCTCGGATCAATTGGGCTTCAATTGTAGTTTGTTAAGGACTTTATAATACCTTATGCAGAGCAACTGGTCGAGGTCTGTTCTTGCCCAGTGAAAAAGCACCAATGCTCCTGGCAACGCTGTCAGTGTGCCCTCGGGGTTCGTTGTTCCCTGTAAGATAACAGACGAGAGGAAACTTAGACATTACCAAAAGAGAAAATGATTACCATATAGATGCAGCAACGCTCCTTTCATGATCGTTGTTGTCATGGTGATTAAGATCATCAACAACAATATATTTTAACTGAAAATCATTATTAATTGGCTTCAAAATCAAACAAAATAATGAAAATGGTTAATGACATTCAGCAGTTCTTCCACATCGCCATCGCCATCGCCATCGCCATCGCCATCGCCATCGCCATCGCCATCGCCATCGCCATCGCCATCGCCATCGCCATCGACATCGACATAATCATTTTAAATACCGCTATCACGATCGTAATGGTGATCATCACCATCATCATCATGATGTTCAGTACTGCGATATTCACCTGGTCCCTGACGAAGTGTCTTTGGTTGAACGCCAAGGTGTGAGGGGTTCTGTTCTCAAGCTGATACCGAGTAGCGAATGTAACGATCCTAGTGAGTTGATAATGACCACGCCCAAACCGAACATCGATACCAATATCATACACCCTGAAATAAGACCAGCACTGGTTAGTATCTGTATATGTGTTCAATAAACATGATGCATTGTGGTCTAGCTTGGGTAAGAACAAACTCATATAAGGGAAGTTAAGTTTTTTTATTGGAAGAGGGGGCCTGGTTTGCAGTAGACTTTAAAAAATGTTTTTTGCTTCCCCCTTTTACTCAGTAAGAAAACCATGCCCCTCTTGTTCACTCAACAAGAAACAGCTTTCCTCAAAATAAAACGGTTTGAACCTCCACAAAAGTTGAAATCGTTACTGATAACCCTCCATTTTGTAGCTCCAGCCTTTCCCCAACAAAAAAAAGCGTATTTTCCCTAAGGTGTAATGAACAAAAGAGGAAGGAATCTTCGGTATTCATGCTTGTAACCTAGCCTCCGTTGCAGATGTCCTGCGGGATCGGCCCGCAGGACGTCTGCAACGGAGGCTATCTTGTAACCATCATAGGCACTGTTTGATGCTATTTTTAGAATCATATTTGCCATCGTTGGTTTTTCTGCACTCGCTCCACGCTGTTTGCTCACGTTTTGTTGAAGAAAAAGAAACACTAGAAAAGATGAGCAAACAGCGTAGAAAACCTGCAGAAAAATAAAAGATTAAATGAATGATTCTAAAAATAGCATAAATAATTCTAAAAATAGCATTAATATTCTAAAAAATAGCACGAAAGACTAAAAATGCAGGAATGATTCTAAAAATAGCATGATGACTAAAAATGACATCAATGATTCTAAAAATAGCATCAATGATTSTAAAAATAGCAACAAACAGTGCTTATGATGGGATGCGTGGATTCCTTCTTTTACGTTGCAGTGTATGTTGAAGTATTGTTATTACCATTGCCTTGCAGTGATCATGCGCACTGGTTCTTTGCTAGGGTTTTTCACGCGAAACCCGCAGCTCGCTTGCACATTGACTAACACCTGCCGGTTGCCTGCGCTGCTTGTTGCGTTACTTTCTCTGCAATAAAAATTGTCACGCAACTTCAAGCTAAAAGCCTGGTTTACATGTGTGTTTTTACTTGCTTTTTTACGTTAATGATAAAAATCGCCATAAAAACTGTCATGGTAAAAAATACTGTTCAGGGAGAGAGCCAGGAATCTGAGAAAGAGGTCGAAAAAATCAGCATCAGATGAATCTCACCGCTGACTATGGACCCCTTGCAGCACTTCAGAATGCAGCTCAATTTGGAGGACATAACAATAAGTTTCCAATTCTCAGGACCTTGAAATTCTTTTCTTTTGGTTTCCAAATTGAACTCCTTTGACGTCACATACAAGTGGTCTATTAGCCATATAGAGGTTGAAGAAAAAACTGGGTCGATTTAGTATTGTAGTGCATTTGGGACTGTTTTTCGGGACGTATTTCATGATAACACCTTCTTTGTTAAGGGAGCACGGCAGACAAATTTGTTGATTGGTCTTCCTGTGGTAATGACGTATGTATTTATCATCCGCCATATTTGTTTATTTATGAGCCAGTAAGACTTTTAAGAAACCGCATGCGCGTCAAAACCACAGGAAGACCAATCAATTAAATTATGTACCACAGGAAAACCAATTAACACATTTATGTCCTGCCGTGCTCCCTTGATTTTGTCTCCTAAAAAGTCACATTCACAGCTCTTGTCACGCAAGGGTTAATGCGCGTAATGAACGTACTTATCTGGCCGTCCATTGGCTTGTCGCGCGTGCACGCGATTGAACTCTCGTGGGTTATCCAGCGAAAATGGTGTACACCTGAAATAACACGATAAAACTTACTTATTTGATAATCGTGCATAGACACTTGAAGACAACAGCCCTCTTTTAGAGACGCGGTGCATTCTGGGTACAAACATTTTTGATTTTCAATGTTTGCACATAAGCTATACCATAATGTATCTTTATTGTCGAACTTAAAATAGAACAATGGAACCATTTTGGCATCGTTTACGACACGTTTCATAATTGGTTTAAAAAAATATTACAAAGGATTAAAATGACAATAGATTGGTCTTCAAAACAATTAAACTAAACGTAACCTAACAAAAGAGGTGCTTTACTATGGGGCAATCTAACAGCAGGTAGCCAGCGTGCAGCCGGACTTCAGTTAGTTCGGTTGGACGCAGGCTAACAGCAGGTTCAGAATTGTGCGGTGTTACTGATTATTTTATATTGTTAAAATGAGGAACCGAAGAGTGTTTGGAAGTACTTACCAGACTGGCTTCCCACTGCCTTCATGGAAGGATTTGCCGATCCGCATCTGACATCTAAAACAATTAACGATGCATTTAGTTAAGAAAACACCGCCGTTGGAGAAGAATTKTAAGTAGTGGCTTAATACGACGAGTGCTTAGCACGAGTGGTATTGAGCGACTTTGATCAAATGTAAGTGGTATTTTTCATTAATTCTTCGACAACTAGTTATTCTTACTAAGGTATTTCCTTTAAATAAGGTAATTCAAACTAAGGCATTTCCTTCTAATAATACATCTACATAGAATACGTGTTTCTGAACTGAGTAAATTGACGGATTGCACGGATTAAGAAATTATTAACGTCCAATCAACCAATCAGAAAGAAGTATCTTATGTAGATGTAGTATTAATGACATTATATTCATGGTAAAATGTTGTACTGTATCAACCAGCTACCTTAATGGCGCATCTCTGTCATAGAAGCTGAACAATAGAGGAGTCAAACTACGAGCCATTTCATGTTCTTCAAACTGACCAGCCATATCATGTGGAGTACTTTCTCGCTTGAAGATCAGTGGGATACCTGTGTTGTTGATTAACCAGTATGGTGCATAGATAGATATCTAGATAGTAAGAAATGATGGTAAATATCTGTTATTGATGTTTAATATAATAAAAACGAGCGAAAGAATGAACGAACGAGAGAACGAGTGAAAGAACTCACGCACGAATAATCAAAAGAATGAAAGAAAATAAGAAAGGAAGGAAGGAAGGAAGGAAGGAAGGTAGGAAGGAAGGAAAGAAAGACAAAGAACAAAAAAACAAAACAAAACAAAAACGAATCTGATCTGATCTGCATCTTCTCTAAATAGATAGGTGCTTACTCTTAGTGCTCCTCCAGACCTAGCACTTATCAATGCATTTAACACCAAAGATCTTTTATTTGTGTCTTGCAGCTCTACGTGTGCGATGGTCTGTTCAAGAAGTCCATCGTGCTTGTTGATTCGTAGATTCTCACAGATGTTAAAGTTCTCGATACCAAATCCCAGGTCTAGTCTCTTCTCGGTATCAGCCTGTGGAAGTAAGACCTATTTAGCAACTATTACACTTCCTTCGCGCTTTAACAGCCTACAGCGTGCATCCATAACTGGATAAACGCACGATAAGCATTGACCATTCCTTAATATAAGTTGCATCTATATATATATGTATCTCTTTAAAGAAATTTCACTGTAGAAAATGATGTGGATTGAAATGCTAAAGCGTTACTATAAAGTGATACTATAAACGACACCACCTCAAATCATCCAAGGCGCGCAAGGTTACTATTCATTCAAGCAGGGATCTCGCAACTCGTCCGTACCGCAATTTTAAGTTACTTTTAACAATATATATATTTTAGTAAAAAACACCCCCCTTCCAAAACAAACCCCTTCCCCTAAAAAACACACCCCCCTCCAAATCCCCCTTTCAAAAAAAACACACCCTAAAAAAAACAGCAAAAAAACAA